AAATTATTTTTTTTGATTGAAGATGCTTTTTGTTTGATTGAATAATAAAAACACAAATTTACCTCCATAGATTACTGCCACACCTGCCAATCAAGAAACTACATAGGACCTGCCTAGCAAAGGGAAGTAGACCAAAAGTTTCTGAAAAGCTAGACATCGTGCTGAAATCCAAAGAAACTCAGGAACAAATGAGAAACAAAGTAATTGAGCTCTATCAGTCTGGAAAATATTATAAATCAATTTCTAAAGCTTTGYGACTCCAGAGAACAACAGTGAAAACCATTGTCCACAAATGGTGAAAGCATGGAACAGTAATGAACCATCCCAGGAGTGACCAACTGACCAAAATTACCCCAAGAGTGCAGCATCGCCTCATCCAAGAGGTCACAAAGACCCCACAACAACATACAAAGAGTTACAGGCCTCAGTTAAGCCCCTTCTTCATGAGCACAGTTCTGCTCGTGTTTTGTGTGTCCGTTTCAGTGTGTCCCTRACTCTGTGTGTGTGATTATGGGTGGACCGTCCGCAGCAACTTCAGCTCTTGTGTTAAAAAATAAAAAGCTGTTGTGTTTTTACTTGTTGTGGTGGTCTGGGGCTGTGTTCAGCTTCAGGGCCTGGGAGACTCACTGTGGTAAATGGAACCATGAATTCTGCTGTCTACCAAAAAAGTCTTGCCATGAGTCTTCTTCAAACAGTGGTTTGTGATACCTTCACCCTTGAACTGTGGAGGTCATTGGTGATGTCACTTACTGATGTTTTGTTTTGTTTTGTTTTTTCTTCACAGCTCTCGCAATATTTCTGTCATTAACTACTGTTATTTTCTTTGGCTGTCTTGTTCGACGTGTGCTGTTCAGTACACCAGAAGTTTTTCCTTTTATTATTCGAGACTTTCCCATTTTTTGTGCTTGCTATGTCCAATGTTTGTCCAATGGCTCTGATTGATTTTCCTTCTTTTCTCAGCTTTTCTCCCATAGACCGCTCTCTGCTCTTCATGTTGGTTTATCCTCTTTAAAAAGAAAAACTTACTTTATAGGTTTAAACCCAGACCAACAAGTAGACTAGTCATGCAGAGCTATTTAATGTTTGAACAATCAACATTAAAGAGTTATTCAGGCTGTCAAATATGCACACGTTTGTGAATTTATTACTATTAAAATTGAAGGTAAGCTGTGTAAATTTTTGCTTGTATCAAACAAGTAGCCCTTCGTGTGACTCTGTACCCATGAAGTAGCTCTGTCTCAAAAAGATTAACCCTGTCCTACAACAATAACCACAATTTGTGCTTTAGATTTTAGAGATTGTAACAGACATGGTCCTACAGCTTTTTTCTGTGCTACAAAATCAYCAACCTCTGTAGCYCTAATGCTATGACCTACAAAAGTTAATGTACATCCCTGATTATTGTGACGCAGTTCTCTCAAGTTCTATAGAAATGATAGTGATCTGTACCATGACATGTGTAATATTTAAATATTCCTAACGTCCCTTGTGTGTTATTGGTGACTGAAACAAATCTAACACTTCCCATCATATTAGACAAGTACACAGGCTGAGGTAGTGGAGCTACAGCTTGAATTAGAGCTCAGTTTTTGTTTTTCTACTCTATTAATACCATACTGGTGGCAGTCTTGAGTGAGAGCCAATCTTTGGTACACTTTTGCAATTCTGTATTCATAATCATTACAAACTCTTGGGTATGATGAGTAAGATGTGTGATCGCTCTTTAATGTCTTCTTACTATTCTGCTTTGCACACCAGCTTCTGCCTTGAGTTTTGCCCAAACTAACTGATGAAATGAGCCACAGTCTTTACTTCTGAGGGTTCAGTCCTTTCTTTTCTATTTTATTTTCTAATCGGTATGAAATTAATTTGAGACTTGTAACAGTAACATGGGGATGACCACATATACTGTAGTTGTCTGTTTTCCCTATTTCCATACAGTTTAGATTTGCTCGGCTATAACTAAGATAAGTCTGTTATAAGATTACTTCAATGTTGCCAAAATCATGGAATTCAGGTACTTCTCAAGTGAGAGGGAGTAGTTTATGATGGAACTTACTGAAAATAATAAAGTTTAACCAGAAATGGCTTYTGAGCATTCTTCTACAATCATGCTTTGTTTAGCTGTAGTTGTGTCAAAATCAGTTAGAGCAGTAATTGTACACATTAATTACATTTTTTATACTATTTTGAGCTGTTTGTTCATTTCACTGTCTGCTACTGAAGCCTGATTCTTTTGATGGTAGGTTTGGGTATGACATTGAGCTACCTGTTCAGGGAACCTGCGACCATCAACTACCCATTTGAAAAGGGACCACTGTCGCCACGCTTCAGAGGAGAGCATGCTCTGCGCAGGTGAGAACGTACCTTTGAATTCATTCACCTCTTTAACCACTGAGAAACTGAAATTCAAAAGAAATCCTAATGACTTAATGACAAATTATTGACAAGTGTCGGATTGAAAACCTAAACTAGTGCTGAGTGGTATGACCAAAATTTTATATCACGGTATTTTCAACATTTACACCGGTTTCACGGTATATCACGGCATTTTTCTTTTCATCACAGATCAGCTGATAATAAAATGTACAAACACTGCTTATTAACTTTTCTCTTTTACTGTACCTCTGTCTGTGTCTCTGTTTCCCTCCTCTGTGTGTCTTTTCTCTGACTGGTGGTTGGAGACAGTAATCACGCATTTTGGTCCAGTTGTGAAGGAGGAGAGATAAGAAAAGATTATTATTGGGTTTATTCCATCCATCCATCCATTTTTTTCCGCCTATCCGGGGTCGGGTCGCGGGGCAGCAGCTTCAGAAGGGAGGCCCAGACTTCCCTCTCCCCAGCCACTTCTTCCAGCTCCTCCGGGGGAATTCCCAGGCCAGCCGAGAGACATAGTCCCTCCAGCGTGTCCTGGGTCTTCTCAACGTGGAGGAGCAGCGGCTCTACTCTGAGTCCCTCCCGGATGACCGAGCTTCTCACCCTATCTCTAAGGG